AGCTGGAATATCTTACGTATGAATATATTCTGTATTTTCTCAAAGTCATTAAATTTTTCCATGCTCCAAATTGGGGCAGCATATCCCATTGAGTTCATCACAATCGAATTAAATAACTGAAAATGTATACGTATGTTCTTTATTTTTGTCTTGCAGAATAGACCAATTAAATTATTTATTGCAATTTTTGCTTTACTTAGTGAATTTTTATAATGTTTTTCGAACGAGAGATTAGGTGTGAATGTAACTCCTAAAAATTTAATTTCCTTCACTATCTTCACTTCTTCTTTATTAATGAAGAAAGACATGTGCTTTTTGGATACGTTACTTCCATTTCTAAATATCATAATTGTTGATTTTTTGGAATTTATTTTAACTCTTAGCTTTTCTAAATACTCACAGATTTGTTGGATTTTTCTACGGAGAGCAGCTGCTGTAGGAGCTATCAACACAATGTCATCGGCATACGATATAGTATGTATTATCTGATTTTCAATTTGAAACCCATCTTCATCTCTTTTAAAGCATTCATTTAGATCAAATAGGTAAAAATTGAAAAGTATAGATTTAAAGTAGATAAATATTGTAACTGTCGTATAGTTAATTAATTAATTTTATGCTTTTAAAATTAAACAACTACAGATAATGACAAAATATTCCAATTTATTCTTTGTATTAACATAATTGTTAAACAATCTGTTTATCCTTTTAATCAAAGCAAACTAAAGAAAAGATTCTTCCTAAGTGGAATTTTGTGTAAATAAATAATAATTTAAATAAGTAATAAAACCAGGAAGACGTTTACTAAAAAAAAATATTTATAACTAGAATTTAGCATCTTCAAATTCAATACACATGTAAAGTTGTTTTAAAGGTCGACTCCATGTGTGATTTCTATTCCTTCACAGTGAATAAAACGAATCTGAAGGCTTTAAATTTTGTGTTTTCTTCTGTTTGTAAGTGTTATAAAGTTTAAGTGCTTCAAAAATTATTCTTGTTATTACCTAACTTCACCAAAAACTTTTATAATATCGAGTTTACTTCATCTAGGATTTATACATAAACCCGTTTCCGTGATTCATTAATTATACATAATTTAGGAGCTCTGTTTTTAAGTTTATTAATGTTTGTTAGAGATTGAAGAGCCTTTTATACGTTATAAACTCATGACCACAATAAATTTGAGGTCCTGAAATATCTTTAATATTTTCTGTTAAATATAAAAAATTTCTTTGAGATGAGAATGGTATCAATACAATATTCATCAAATAACTTGAATAATTAATTTTTTTTCCACAAAAATTTATATTTCTAGAACATTAAATATCAATCATAAATATTAATTTTATTATTATTAATTTTAATTTTTAATTATGTAAATTTATTAATTATTTACAAACTCTTGAAAATTCAAGAATCTACTAATCTTAAAATACTTAAATCAATGTATTGAATTTTACAGAGTTGGAAATTTATTATCTTCTCATTTAATCTGTTAATTAAGGATCATTCCAATATTTTCGATATTGGATTAATCCTAACACATCCTAATTGAGATATATTATTTTTAGTTATATGATTTATTTGGGAGATTTTTTACTAATATTTAATTTTATTTATTAATTTTCTAAATTATTATATAACCGATAGAAGTTTTAAGATTCAATTTCTACAGTTCTTTCTTATAAAGAGTCTTTGACAAGAAGCAGATACATATCTACATATAAATGTAATATTCATATCAAACTATCAAGTTTGATGTAAATATTACATTAGAAACTATTTTTTCTCGTTAAAATATTTAATAATCTTAAAAACTTTTTAAACTTTTCGTTTTATAAGAAAATTTATTCGCAAATTCCAGTGTCCTCTAAGAATCTTTACATTCCTGCACCTGATTAAATTGTAAAACAATGGTTATTATCGCTGCATATTATATAATATTCAAGATTTAAAAAGATTCTATAAATATTTTCTTTATATAGAAACCATTTATTTAATAATAATCAATTTTTTAATATTAGAAATATTAAAAAAACTTATAATCATTAGATTTTTATTGCTCAGTTACTTATATGAAAACATCAATCTTATACACAACTCGCTCTTGATCAAACACTTCAAATGATAACTCTTTATTATACAATCCGCCTTTATAATAATCTATATCCTCTGCAAGTTTGGATTTTTCTATTGAATACTTCTTAGGTAAGCAAAAATTCTTTTCAAGCAACTAAAACTGAACTGATTTCTTCTTATTTTCAATGGGAATTACTTAGATATCTTTAAAAGTACTCTTGTCATTTTTGTGAAGAATATACTACCAATAAAATTGGACATTTCCTAAATATCTGTCCAATGTTTCTTCTCTTGCTGAATGAACAATTCTCCAATGAATTTAAAATTGATTACATCTTCAATGATAAGATTAGTAGGGCTACACCATTCAAACTCTCTATTTATTCAAAAGGGCAGTAATATTTATATTTATATGTAATTATATAAATTTACTTTAAATAAGCTTAATTTCTTCTCACTATTTATCAAAATTATTAATTTTATTATCAAAAAGTTATTACTGTTACTAGCTTAATTATAATAGGATAATATCCTCTTTAATGAATATTTAATTAATATATATATAAATAAATTATATATGTAAATTTTAACTTAAATTTAAAATATTTTTCTTATTTTTCTTTCAATTTTTACAAACCTGTAGGTATAGAAAGTGAATTTTTGACTTCAGTACTTTCACTTTCTGAATCTTTCACAGATCCAAAACTTTGATGTCTAGGAAATGCTGTCAAATCTGTGACAATAAAAAAAACGATAAAATGCCAAGACTATATATAAATAATAAAAAGATTTTTTATAATATATATACTTTAAAAAGTGAAAAAAAATAGTAATAAAATTTGTTAAAAATTTTTTAATCGATATATGGCAAAGAAAAATGTAAAAGTTAAATGAAATATGTCATTATGGAATTTATTATAAATGACATTTAGTCCTTTAAATTAGTTTTAAAGCAAAAATGTCGAATATTTAAATTCTATACCGAATATTTTGTAGATTATATATATATACATCTTCAAAACATCTAACCTACTCTGACAACAAAGAAATTCCTGGCATTCTGACGAAATTACATAACGAAACCATTTTACATGTAATAATCAAGATGAAAATTTTGTAAAACATGTAAAATTTTAATTCCAATATATTCAATTTACTTAATCAGATAAGGTTTAAAATATATATATATATATATATATATATACAGAACGTATATAGAAAGAGAAAGATAATGAAAGCTAACATTGCACAGAAAGCATTAGATTTTTTTTACACTTTATCATTTTCTTTTGCTTATTTTTCAGCTTCTGCTTCATGTCATGTATCTTTTCTGTTATTTTTTTATTGTTTGGATAATATTACTTTTCATTTTTTTTATTACAGAAAAAAATTTAACGATTATTTTACTGAATTCAAATCTTAAAAGTAAACATAAAAATTATGTTCATTCTCACTTTAAATAAAGATAAATAATCTTGTAGGAGTAGTTGTATCTATTCATTATTTGGAAAGTAATACTGATTAATAACATTTTCAGTAGGTTAGCGAGATTGAATAACTAAGATTTGGAAATATTCTGACAACATGATCCTATTCTTGAGGACCCCATTAACTTTAAGAAAGAGATAATCGTTCAATACTTTCTTTCTTGATAGATAACTTACTTTTCGTAGCGTTAAATAGTTTTCAGGTCTTTCTAAAAGAAGATAAAGAATTAAAAAAAAATTATTTTACTTCGATTTGTATTTTTTTTATTTTATTTTTTTATTTTTTTCCCTTCACTCTTCTTCTTCTTCTTCTTCTTCTCATTTTGATTCTGTCTTCCATTTGTTAATGAGACAAATGGTATTAAATAAATGATAAGGAATAAAAATACCAAAGCCGAATAGATTTTTAAAATTACTTTAATTGATAACATTCTATTTAATTCATTATTTGACTTCGTTAATTTTTGTTTTTCTTTCTTAATTTTTCTTGCATTATGCGTTTAGAAGTTTATCCGGATCATAGCTTATCTGATGATGGAATTTATCATTTTCTAACTATGTTAATGATTATTATTATAATTATATACGTTATTAATATGAAAAAAAAGTGAAAGTAGGTCATAAAAATATATTTAAAACCTTAACGATGCTATTAATTTATCGTGATAAGTCTGGAAACGTTCCTTTGACAGTCGTCATAAACCATTGATCAATCCATACTTATAGTTATAAGTGTTTGATGACGTTATAATGATTATAGATGATATAAATGATTGTTTGCGTGACAGTATGACTTCTTTTTTCACGGATGAAAATCACCACGATTCTTAACATTTATTCTATCCCTCCGGATCCATCAAAGACAACAAACTGACTATTGAATGATATCAAAGAATAAGTTTTGACAAAAGGCTACATATAATTGATGACACGAATAGTAGAAAAGAGGTAAAGCGTGTTATTTAAAGAAGATCAAGCATCAATATAACGGAAATTATTCCCCAATTGCAATTGTGATTAATCACATAGATCATATCTTTAACACGATTTGATAGTATTAAGTTACTTGCCTTCTGGAGTGACTCGTATATTTGGTATGGTTTGTTTCGTTGGTTCTTCCGTTGGTGGTGGTATTTCTATAAAGAAAAAGTAAATAAATAAATTCTTATCAATTTTATAGAAAAAATAATAGTGTTGAAAAACTCTAATATGATTAAAATTCTTATTATGTTTATCTTTTCAATGGAGCACTCGAATAAGTAGTGGAAAGATTGTATCTGGTGTGGAATGTTATCCTTACATAGGTCATATATATATATATATATATATATAACCTATATATGTGTATTGTGTGTATACGTTTGAGTGTGCTTCTTTCCCTTGGTAGATACAATAAAAATAGAGAATTACAAGAATAGATTGGATGGGTAATAACCGCATCAACTCAAACTGTTTCTTTTTCGCTCTTATCCATTATTTTTATGTCTTTTATTTTTGATTTTTCTCTACATCATCGGATCTTTGATCGAACAAATAGCAGATCCACTTTTCCCCTTCCTACTCTTATATAAAAGTTTATTTAATAATNTAAAGTAATACAAAGTTGAAACTAAGGTTTACGCGTTATAAATTTAATATTTGTAATTAAACTATAATTTATATAATTGAAAATATCCTATAATAAACATTATTGAAGGGAGAAAATAACATTAAAATAATATAAAGACCAGGAAATAATAAATTTCATTCTTAATTATCTGAATGGTCTGTTCAAAATCATATTTATATCACTTGTTGGATGATGAAAATTATTTAAAATTAAATATTCTTAATATAAACGTAAACATGTGTATTTTTAATGACGATTTTCTGTATTTTAATTAGTTTTGTTAAAGGAAACCTATATAACATCTTAGATAATAAACGTGGAAAATTAATTTCGCTGTAAAGTCATAATATTTGCAAATTACTGCTTTATCAATAATTTTAAGATAAGATTAATAATAAACAAACACAATAACTCATCAAAACTGTGAGAAATCACTTTTGTGAATGCATTCAACAGACAAACTGTAAATGAGGAGAAGTGGAGAGAAGTTAATAGAAATTCTGTACTGACTATGTTGTTGTCCTCGTTGTCCTTTTCTTGACTTTTCTGGTAAGGGGACTCTGTCCTCAAGAGCAGAAGCATCTTCTGATGATCGATATTTTCCGTCTACAATAGAAGTGTAGGTAATGTGTTTGAGTGTTCCTCCTTGAAATTCTATCTGATTTCTCAATTGATTAGTAATATTTATTTTTAGCTTTAATAATAAAACTTTATCAGGAATAAACATTATTAATTCTAACAGCATGCAACTTAATACTAAATTAATCTAAGCATCATTGTTCTAGATACAATAATAATTATCGAATTTCTAACATAAAGTACATCATTAAAGAATAAAGCAACCGTGAAGTGACGTTTAGTAATAATTATACATATAATAACTACATTGTTATCTGAATATTATATTTAAAATATAATATTCACAACAGTTTATTTGTTTAATTACATTTAAAACTTTTTTATAGAAAAGTTAAGAAATTTTAAATTTTTCTATACGTTATCATTTTACCTTAAAGCAGTAATTCTTACAAAAAAATAGTCAATATTTAAGGATTATTAACTTAATTAGAAGCAATAAATTGAGTATATATTTTTGGTTTTTTTTTCTAAATTAATTTAAAAATATTTGGCAATTAACAAATTAAAATACTTAAAAATATCGATGCTAACTTTGAAAATTTTTCTTCTTTCAAACATTGTTTTGGCTATTACACCGTTTAAATAAGATAATTCATGATATAATTTCGGAAGAAAACATCAAAGAATTCTCTTATGAATATTAATGATAATTCTTCAAATAATTACTTTTTCTTGAAAAATTTTCAAAGCAATTAAAACTATTTGAATGAGATAATTGCTTATAGAGTTACGGACTCGAGGAAAAAAAAATGTTGAATTGAAATTTCTATATCCGAAGACATTTTGGAAACTATCCGAATTTATAATGTCGAAAATAGTGGGTCTTTTAGTTTTGTTATGTATGAAATCTGTTTAAAATTCTACTTTCCATAATTTTTTATGTAAGTAGCTTTCTTTAAAGAATATATTTCCATATATATTTCGAACTGAAGTATCACACTCAGCTGAAAGTGTCAACGTTTAAAAATGCGCTATTTAGAACAGGTAAGATCTAAGTAATCGAACTAGAGAGAGACAAAAGAGGAATATATATATATATATATATATATAACCTTGCGTATAAAATATAATTTTTATAAATTTAATTAGATTATTTTAATAATAAATCTGTCATATTTATCAAGGAAATAAGATATTAATATCGTTACCGATTTTGAAATTCAGATAACATTTTTAAAGGCTATCAATATTTTCAAATGGTGTTTATGTTACAAAATGATTTGTATTCACAAGAAAACAAGCTTTTTGCTATCTGCGAATCAAATTTTTTACTACTTTATATTTCTGATCACGTAGAAAAAGAAAATAGCAGGAAAGTGAATGAACAGTTACAAATGTAAAGTAAAACTTATCAGCATATAAAAAAAGCATTTTAATTTTTTTCTCTAGTTCTTCTGAAAGGAAAAACGGAGAAGCTATTATATAATTTTATAAAAAAAATTAATAAAGTTGTGTATTGATTACTATTTAAAATTTTAAGTGGAGAAGACAGAATTACTTTAAGGATAAGGTTATGTTCTTTCGGTTCATCAACATACTAAAGTATACAGACAAAGATAAATGTTAACATCTCTTGTTAAAGAAAAGTTTAATTTAAGATTTGATAAGTTCAACGAAATATTCGAGTAGAAAACTCAAATATAAAAAGTCAATTATTATGATAGAAGTGTCCTGACAGCATCAAGGAGCTACCAATTGATCCAATCATTATTGCCAAGAACACTCTTGTTGAAACGTAATTAAAACATTAACAAACTTATGATTGACGTATTTTTAAACCTCACTCTTATTAAAATCTTATCGTGAAACCAATAATGACATTTATAACTTCTTAAGTTATAAATAGAATTTGATAAAAACAAAAAAAAAAAAAAAAAAAAAAACAGTGTGTAGACACTCCACGTGGCACTTATCCAAACTGGATATTAAAGATAAAAGTTTTTCGATACAATTTCAGAGTGGTTTTCTTAAGTTATAAGGTTTCTATTAATAGATTTTAATAGAATTTTTGACACTGTCAAAAGCTATAATTGGAACACAGTATCTATTCCTGTATAAAGACACTAATATGAACTTAAAGAGTGTCAACTTCTCAAATTGCTCGAATACACTGAAAGATCTGTTGAGATAAAAGAACATTGAACTTCATCCATTAAATGGAATATGATATAGGCTAGAAATATAGCACTTTTTCGACGTGTTCTAACTCTAGTAAATGTTTCATATTTCCTTTTGATAAAAGTCAATATGTTAGAGTACGTTTTAAAAGTTTCTAGAATTAAGTTTCCTAATCAGAATGCTCTTACTTCTCTAAGAATTTTCAAAATATTGCTTTGGATAACATCAATATATCACAAATACTCATTATATCCATGTTTCCTATATCATTTCTTCTGTAATATTTTCTAGAAAAATAATTATTAAGATTTTGTTTTTGAAATTTTACATTATTCTGATAATTATACTACGTATTTTAGATTCGTTATGTAAATCTCTAAATTTATTCGGAGAGAGTTTCATCAAACTACAAGAGTAAGCCGAATTTTTCCAACAGTCACTGCTATCTTCACGTAGATTATTGATAAAGGATCTTCCCTTTTTTAAAATTTCTCGATCCTAAAACTTAAATTAATTAAAACTTTATATCATTTTCGTTCTGTCTACTCTCCAAAGCCGAATATAATGAACTATTCTTTGAAATAGCATGATTATTCTAAAGAATGCACACGTCTACATGTTGTAAAACGGTAATTTATAACATAAAATCTGTATTTTCTCTCATTATTAACAAAATATTTTTTATTTAACTTTAAAAAGGTAAGAAAAAATCGTGTAATTTTCAACCTTTTTAGCTTCTAAATTAATATTATTCTAATTTATATAAGAATAAAAGCAATGAGGTAAAGATTTTATTTGAAGTATAATAATCTTTATTTGTCGTAATAGGCTTTCGCCTGTTACAAGGGCGTTTAGTTTTACATAAACTCGTATTAATTTAACATCTCAATTTTTTTTCGTCTTATTAACATTAATATATTCTATTTGCTAATTTTTAAATTTACATTAATATTTTGTTACAATTTTCATTTAGTAAATTGTTTAACATAGTTATATAACATATAAATCGTGTTAGTATTAGCTCTGTCAAAAGTCTTAAACATTTTCATCTCACTGTTACAGTTGACTAGCGGTTGCATTTGGAGCCTTTGTATTTTATCTTTTTCATTACAGCATTCACATATAATATGAACTCTAGATAAAGGTTTAGTACAATTTGGACATTTAGATTGGGTATAGTCTATATATTTATCATTTATAATTATTCCGTATTTATTTAGCCTAAGCTGTATAAAAAACTTTTTGATGTTAAAAGCTAGATTTGTCAATATATAGTTGTTATTTACAGGATAATTTAAAATTGTTGCATACCAGCTTGTATTTTCTCGTTTTCGTATATCTTCCACGTCTTGGATAATAGAGTATTCCATAACTCTATGTATTATTTCTTTACTATATTGCTCTATATCATAATTACGATCCATAACCAGTTTAATAGAAAATCCATATTTATTAACTATCTTCGATAACTGAATTATCCAACTTCGTCTTAAGTCTGTTTCCCTTGATTTGTGATGTAGTAAGAACAGCAATTTTGTTGTTATATCTTCAGCCTTAATAATTTTTTGTAAAAACTTTAAATATCTTTTTATTAGTATAGTATTTATTCTGAATCTATGTGTTTCTAATCTTAAGGCACTACCCGGGATATTGTATTCCAGCTGGAATATCTTACGTATGAATATATTCTGTATTTTCTCAAAGTCATTAAATTTTTCCATGCTCCAA